TCTTTCTTTTATTTTTTTGAGACAGAGTCTCACTCTGCTTTTCAGGCTGGAGTGTGGTGGCATGATCACAGATCACTGCAGCCTCTACTTCCCCAGACTCAGGTGATCCTCCCACCTCAGCCTCCTGAGTAGCTGGGACTACAGTCATATACCACCATGCCTGGCTAATTTTTGTATTTTGTGTAGAGAAGGGGTTTCACCATGTTTCACAGACTGGTCTCAAACTCCTGGGCTCAAGTGATCCTCCTCACTTAGTCTCTCAAAATTCTGGGATTACAGATGTGAAGCATTGGGCCTGGCCTTGCTGATTGTTTCCTTTGCTGTGCAGAAGATTTTTAATTTGATAAAATCTTACTTGTTTAGTTTTGCTATTATTGTCTGTGCTTTAAAAATCTTATTCATGAAATATTTCCCCAGACTCATGTCCTCAGTTTTCTTCTTTTAGTTTTACCATTTTTGGTCTTACCTTTAGGTCTTTGATCCATTTAGAGTTGATTTTTATATGAGGTGAGAGGCAGTGGTCTAGTTTCATCCTTCTCCCTAAAGATAGCCAGTTTTCCCAGCACGATTTGTTGAAGAGACCTTCTTTTCCCCAATTGGTGTTCTTGGGATCTTTGTCAAAAATCAGTTGGCAGTATACATGTGGATTAATTTCTGGATTCTCAATACTATTTCATTGGTCTGTGTATCTAATTTTATGCCAGTACCATGTTGTTTTGGTTACTACAACTTTGTAATATATTTTGAGGTCTGGTAGTGATACCTCCAGTATTGCTGTTTTTGCTCATGATTACTTTGGTTATTTGGGGTCTTCTGTGGTTCCATACAAATTTTGGGATTTTTTTTTTCTATTTCTGTGAGAAATGTCATTGGTATTTTGATAGAGATTACAGTCTTATTTTAACAATATTAATTCTTACAATCCATCAGCATGGCTGTCTTTCCATTTGTTTTCATCCTCTTCAATTTCTTTCATCAGTGTTTTGTAGTTTTCCTTGTAGAGATCGTTCACCTCTTTGGTTAAATTTATTCCTAGGTATTTTAATATTTTTGTAGTTATTGTGAGATTTCCTTCTTAATTTCTTTTTCAGCTAGTTTATTGTTCATGTATAGAAATGCCACTGGTTTTTGTATATTAATTTTGTATCCTTCAACTTCACTGAATTCATTTATTAGTTCTAAGAGTTGTTTTACTAGAGTCTTTAGGTTTTTCTAGATAAAAGAACATGTCATCTGCAAATGGGGACAGTTTGACTTCCCCCATTCCAATCTGAATGTCTTTTATTCTTCTCTCTTGTCTAATTGCCCTGGATAGGATTTCCAGGGATATGTTCAATAAGAGTGGAGACAGTTGGGAATCCTTGTGCTGGTCCATTTCTTAGAGGAAAAGCTTTTAGCATTTCCTCATTTATAAGATCTTCACTGTGTGTTTGTCATACGTGCCCTTTATTACGATGAGGTGCTTTCCTTCTATAGCTAATTTGTTGAGAATTTTTTTTTATTATGAAGGGATGTTGAATTTTATCAAAAGCTTTTTCTGCATCTATTGAGATGATCATGTAATTTTTGCCCTTCATTCTATTGATGAGATGTATGATGTTTATTGATTTGCATATTTTGAACCAACTTTGCATTCCTGGGATAAATCCTACTTGATCATGGTATATTATCTTTTTGATGTGTTTTTCTCACCTTTTATTTTTTTCTCTGGAATGTTCATAATATGAATATTTATTTGCTTAATGGTATCCTATAAATCTTGTAGGCTTTCTTCATTCGTTTTAAGTTCTTTTTTGTCTTCCTGTGTTATTTCAGAAGACCTGTCTTTGAGCTAAGAAATTATTTGTTTTGCTTGGTCTAGTATGTGTTGAAACTTTAATTGTACCTTTTATTTCATTCATTGAATTCGTTAGTTGCAGGATTTCTGTTTGGTTATTTTTTATGGTGTCTATCTCTTTGTTGAATTTCTCATTTTAGATCATGAATGTTTTCTTGACTTTATTGAATTATCTATTTGAATTCTCTTGTATTTCACTGAGTTTTTTTTTTAAGATTTCTAAGCCGGGCGCGGTGGCTCAAGCCTGTAATCCCAGCACTTTGGGAGGCCGAGGCGGGTGGATCACGAGGTCAAGAGATCGAGACCATCCTGGTCAACATGGTGAAACCCCGTCTCTACTAAAACTACAAAAAATTAGCTGGGCATGGTGGTGCGTGCCTGTAATCCCGGCTACTCAGGAGGCTGAGGCAGGAGAATTGCCTGAACCCAGGAGGCGGAGGTTGCGGTGAGCCGAGATCGCGCCATTGCACTCCAGCCTGGGTAACAAGAGCGAAACTCCGTCTCAGAAAAAAAAAAAAAAAAAAAAAGAGATTTCTATTTTGAATTCTTTTTATGCCATTTCACTTATTTCCTTATGATTGGGAAATATTACTGGAAAGTCATTGTTTTCCTCTGGAGGTGACATGTTTCCTTGCTTTTTTATGGCTGATGTATCCCTATGTTGATATCTATGCATCTAGTGGAAAAGGGACTGCTTCCAATTTTATGAAGTAGGTTTTGTAGGGAAAGACTTATTCATATGGAGTGTGTATTAATCTGTTTTTGCATTGCTATAAATAAATACCCGAGACTGGGTAATTTATAAAGAAAAGAGTTTTAGTTGGATCACGCTTCTGTAGGCTGTGCAGGAAGCGTAGTGGCTTCTGCTTCTGGGGAGGCCTCTGGTGCTCTCTATCATGGTGGAAGGGAAAGCGGGAGCAGGCACACCTCACATGTCGGGAGCAGGAGTGAGAGAGAAAGAGAGAGTGGGGCAAGGGGCCACACAGTTTTAGACAACCAGATCTCATGAGAACTCACTATGCAGTACCAAGGGGGAATGGTGTAAAACAATTCATGAGAACTACATCCCCATGATCCAGTCACTTCTGTATTAGTCCACTTTCATGCTGCTGATAAAGATATGAAGACTGGGCAATTTACAAAAAAAAGAGGTTTAATGACTTACAGTTCCACATTGCTGAGGAGGCCTCACAATCACGGCAGAAGGCAAGGAGGAGCAAGTCACATCCTATCTGGATGGCGGCAGGCAAAGAGAGATTGGGCAGGGAAACTTTTTCTTGTGATACCATTAGATCTCTTGAGACTTATTCGATATCATGAGAGCAGCATGGGAAGGACCTGCCTGCATGATTCAGTTACCTCCCACTGGGTCCCTCCCACAACACATGGGTATTCAAAAAGCTCAAGGCCCTCTCCAAACTGGACTCAGGGTTTGCAAGAACCATGAGATTCTCCTTTCGTAAGGACTGGGATTTGGGTGGGGACACAGCCAAACCATATCAACTTTCCACTAGGACTCATCTCCAACACTGGGGATTACAGTTTGACATGAGATTTGGGTGGGGACACAGATTCAAATCATATCAAGGTGTCAGTTTGGTGTGGTACACTGGCCTTGGTATGCAGTACATGGCTGCTTGGCCAACTTGAAGGGCTGTCTCTGAGGTCCTTATTGGAGGTGCAGGGCCACTGAGCGAGCCAAGGGTGTGTTGTGTCTTCAGGGAATAGGGTGCTGCGGGCCTGTTTCTCAGGTCCTGAATGTGGGCGCATAGCCACTTTGCTAGCCTGGGGGCATATCAAATACTGAAAGGCTCAAGGCCCTCTCCTGCTTGGGGGAGGGTACACAGTGAATTGGCTGACTCAAGGGTGGGTTCATCCTAGGCAGCAGTGGCAGACTGTTCCTCCAGCTAGAAGTGCAGTAGTGAGGGTGGTTTTTCATGCTGTGCAGGACCAGTGTCACAGCTTACCTTCGGACCAGGCTTCATGCAGCGGGGATTGTGGCATTCAGCCACCTGGGCGGGCTTGGTTGAATGAAGAAGGAGCTCCAGTGCTGAAGAGATGTAGTGATTCCTGGCTCCAGAGGAGGATGCACTCCAGAGGTGGCTCTGGTCTCAAGATGATGCTCTGCAACAGATTGGCTCAGAGGGGCTGGGTGGGGGTGGGGAGTGCATACCTTATGGTTCTAATCTGGAGCAATGCTGCTGTGCGGATTCCTGGCAGCTCTGCAAACTGGACGCAGGGCTTGCGAGAACTGTGAGATTCTCCTTTTGTAAGGACTGTAGGTGTTTGCTGTGTCAGTAGAGGTGGATGAGGTCCTTCTGTTTATCTTTTCCATGCAATGAGATGTCCCTCCTGACTCCTGGCAGATTTAATCTGAGCAGGGGATACAGGGCTGCAGAGGCTGAGTGCCTGCATGCTGCCTTTCTGGACTGCCAGTCCCCATGGATGCATCTTCACTCCCCCACTGTACTTCAGCACCCTCCTTCAACACTCCAGTCAGCTCTTGGCTGTTGATTCATTGCCTTGGTCGTTTTGGTGGGTCGGGGGGCAGGCAGAATGCCAGTCCTCTCTAGTCAACCATTTTGCTGACATCACTCTTCCAAATGATCTGGAGTTTATTTTCATTTTTTTCATCCAAAAATATATTATAAGGATTCTATATTTACACTGTGCTAGGAGACTAAAGGTCATTAAAATGTAATAGAGCCCCTACTTTACAACAGAAGTAGATATATGGTTCTTTATAGCATGGTAGAATTTGAACGTCACTTTTATGGCTTTGTAACTGTGACTGGCTCTATCTGGATGTGCAATTTCTGAGGAAATGTTGAAATCAAAACTTAGACACTGAGTTTTTAGAAAGCTAATTATATAGAGCTCACCAAAATTATAGTTTTTTCCCCAAAATTCTCACTGTGCTTTAAAAATAATTAGTATTAACTATCCCTCTGTATGAGGATCATAGTTGTGACCATCATATCATTATGTCAACAGTGACCTTTGAGAGTTGGAAGAGTAAAAGATGGGAGAGCCATCTTGTTCGTGCAGAGGAGATTCTTAGAAGTACCAACTAAGAGATGAAATTGCTGGCCTAGAAACTAGTAACCTTCTCACTGGGTTTCATGGTTCTTTTTTCCTTTCTTTCATCATTTTGCGTTTCCAGCTGAGATGTTAAAACAAAGATTAGAAGACCTGGAACAAGAGACAATCAGCCTGCACTTTCAGCTTCCTTCAAGGCAGCCAGCTCTAAGCAGCTTCCTGGGTCACCTGGCAGCACAAGTCCAGGCTGCCTTGCGCCGTGGGGCCACTGAGCAGTGAGTACTTGTCATTGTCGCCATTTCCCCTTCATGTTTCTTCCTACCTTTCAGCGCCCACATAGTAAAGAGCTGGGAGGAGCTTAGCTGTAGGAACCCTCGGCTGCTTTCCTGGGAAGGGCCCTTTGTTGGTTGGGAAGGTGAGAGTCCTTCCAGAGTGAGGGAATGACTCACGTGGGTCATGCTTCTCTAGACAAGACTTTTCTGCTACTTGGCAGAGAGAGATCCCCCACAAGTGCAGCTGCATCCTAGGTCTGAATCATTCCTTCTAAGAAGGTGTGGTCATTTCCTCTTGTTGAGGCAGCTTGGTGTCCTGTGATCCTATTAAGCCTGTAAGATCCATATATGGTCCCCTCTGACCGAGCAATGAAAACCCTTCTTCCTCCTAACTACTTCCAGCTCCCGAGCAACATTCACCCAAGGCTCTTCTGGGATCAGTAATATATAGAGAGCAATTGCTGCTTCTAATCTAGTGGCTTGTGGTCCTGGCTGCATGTTTGAATAACTTAGAGAGATTTAAAACCTACCAATGTCCACCCCCACCTCAGGCAAGCTGAGTCGGAATGTCTCGAGGTGGTAGGCAAGGGTGGCCCCCAGATGTTGGCATGCTTGAAAAGGCTGAGAACCATTGCTCCATCTACCTGCCTATTCCCTCTCTCTCCAGGTAAAGGTCTGAGAGGGAACAAGTGTTTTATGAATGCTGTGAGCCTCATCACAATTCAGGTCTGTTTCTAGGTGTCAACATGACCACAACAATTCCACTTTATTTCCCACTTCCAACTGGCCCTGATAATCGCAAGACTGTCTGGCCCCTTCCTATTAAGTGTACATGGCATTATACATTTAGTTTATCCTGGTGCCTCCCTAAAGCCCTTCTGGACTGTGAGGCCAGTTATTTTCTCAGTTTTGTCAGTAGCATATAGCAGAGTGAATAGCACCTGGTAGGCGCCTTTTTATAACTGTTTGCTCAGGGAACTTTTTCATGATTCTCTTAAATAGGGAGTAAATTTTGCCTTGCCATTTCCATGCCTTTCTCATCTGACATTGAGACGTCATTACAACATTGCCTCTTCCTCTTTCTTTCAAGCATGAGGCCCCTCCCAAATTGACTTTCTATGTAATTCTCTCATTCTTTTATCTTTGGGATTATTTCTTGTCCTCTACTTTAGTCTTGGGAGATCTTTAGCAAGCATATAGAAATGGGGCAAAAAAATTGAGGCACAATAAATTTAGCTAATTTATTATGTTTCTATTTATTTAACAAACACATAACAGGTACTAAGTGCTTTAGAAGTTACTCATTTATTTCCATTTTTTAAAAATTGTGGTAAAATACACATAACATAAAATTCACTATCTTAGCCATTGTTAAGTATACAGTTCAGTGGTACTAAATACATTATAATGCTGTACAACCCTCACCACCATTCATCTCCAGAACTTTTTCCTCTTCCCCAACTAACACTCTCTGCCCATTAAGCAATAAATCCCCATCCCTTCTCCTCTTCTGGCCCCTGACAAACACATTCTAATTTCCATTTCTCTGAATTTGACTACTCTGCGTACCTCATATAAGTGGAACCATACAATATTTGTTCTTTTGTGACTGACCTTTCTCATAGCATAGTGTCTTCCAGGTTCATTCATCTGATAGCTCGTGTCAGAATTTCCTTCATTTCAAGGCTGTATAATACTCCATTGTCTGGATAGACTACAGTTTGCTTATTCATTCATTTAAATAACTCGTTTAATCTTCATGACAATTCTAGGGGGTAGTATTATTTTATATATTGATATCTATGTGTATAGAGATCTGTATCTACATCAATACCTGAATTTTAAGATGAGGAAACCAGGCCCAGTAGAAGCTAAGAAGCTCAGGCAGACCAACCAGCATGTTGAGTACTGAGGGAGGCACAAACCCAGCTGTCTGGCTTGCATCCTGTCTGCGAACCAGTGCACTGTGCTGCCTCTCTAAGTATGGGCTGGCAAAGGCTGATAAATTACTATCTCTTTAGCCCTACATGCAAGTTGGATGGAGAGCGTATTAGTCCATTTTCACATTGTTATAAACAATTACCTGAGACTGAGTAATTTATAAATGAAAAAGGATTAATTAGCTCATGATTCTTCAGGCTGTACAGAGAGCATGAGGCTAGCGTCTGCTCAGCTCCTGGGGAGGCCTCAGGAAACTCATAATCACGGCGTAAGGTGAAAGGAGAGCGCACACATTGAATGGCCAGAGTAGGAGCAAGAGAGAAAAGAGGGAGGTGCCACATACTTTTAAACAACCAGATCTCATGCGAACTCTATCATAAGAACAGCACCAAGAGGATGGTGCTAAACCGTTCATGAAATATCCACCTTCATGGTACAATCATTTCCCACCAGACCCTGCCTCCAACACTGGGGATTACATGACATGAGATTTGGGTGGGGACACAGATCCAAGCCATATCTTTCCACCCATGGTCTCCGCAAATCTCATGTCTTTCTCACATTGCAAAATATAAGCATCCCTTCCCAATAGTCCCCCATAGTCTTAGCTCATTTCCGGCATTAATTCAGAAGTTCAAAGTCCAAAGTCTCATCTGAGACAAGGCTAGTCCCTTCTGCCTGTGAGCATGTAAAATAAAAAACCATTTAGTTACTTCCCAGGTATAGGCATTGGGTTAATGCTCCTGTTCCAAAAGAGAGAAATTGTCTGAAAGAAAGGGGCTACAGGCCCCATGCAATTTGAAACCCAGTAGGGCAGTCATTAAATCTTAAAGCTCCAAAATAATCTCCTTTTCACTCCATGTCTCACATCCAGAGCACACTGGTGCAAGGAGTGGGCTCCCATGAACTTGGGCAGCCCTGCCTCTGTGGCTTTGCAGGGTTCAGCCCCTGCAGCTGCTCTCATAGGCTGGCATTGAGTGCCTACAGCTTTTCCATGCTGAGGGTGCAAGCTGCCAGTGGATCTATCATTCTAGGGTCTGCAAGATGGTGGACCCCTTCTCACAGCTCCACTAGGCAGTGCCCCCATGGGGACTTGGTGTTGGGGCTCCAACCCCATATTTCCCCTCCCTACTACCCTAGTAGTGGTTCCCCATGAGGGCTCCTCCCCTGCAGCAGTCTTCTACCTAGGCAACAAGCTCATGCATTCTCTGAAATCTAGGAAGATGCTCCCAAGCCTCAACTCTTGTATTCTGTGGACCCTCAGTCTTATCACCATGTGGAAATTGCCAGGGCTTATGGCTTGTATCCTCAGAAGCAGTGGCCCAAGCTATATCTGGACCCCTTTGAGCCAAGGCTGGAGTTGGAAAAACAGCAGTGTGGAGAGCAGTGTTCTGAGACTGTGCAAAGCAGTGGGGCCCTGGCCTGGCCCATGAAACCGTTCTGTCCTCGTAGGCCTCCAAGCCTGTGATGGGAGGGGTTGCCATGAAGGTCTCTAAAATGCCTCTGAGGCCTTTTCCCCATTGTCTTAGCTATTAGCACACAGCTTCTTTTTACTTATGCAAATTTTTACAGCCTGCTTGAATTCCTCCCCTGAAAATTGGCCTTTTTTTTTCTACCACATGGCCAAGCTGCAAATTTTCCAAACTTTTATAACTTGCTTCCCCTTTATATATAAGTTCCAACTTTAGCTCATGCATATAAGCACAGGTTGTTAGAAGCAGCCAGGCCACATATTGAATGCTTTGCTGCCTAGAAATTTCTACCACCAGACACCCTAAATCATTACTCTCAAGTTCAAAGTTTCACAAACAACCTAGGGCAGGGGGACAATGCAGCTAAGTTCTTTGCTAAGGCATAACAAAAGTGAGCTTTACTTCAGTTCCCAATAAGTTCCTCATGTCAATCTGAGACTTCAGCAGCCTGGCTTTCACTGTTCATATAACTTCCAGCATTTTCGTCATAACCATTTAATCAGTTTCAAGGAATTTCCAAACTTTTCCTCATCTTCCTGTCTTCTTCTGAGCCATGCACACTCTTTCAACCTCTGCCCACTACCCAATTTCAAAGCAACTTCCACATTTTCAGGTATCTTTATAGCAATGCCCTGCGTCTTTGTACCAATTTTCTGTATTAGCCTGTCTTCACATTATTGTAAAAAAATACCCAAGACGGGGTAATTTATAAAGAAAAGAGGCTTAATAGGCTTACAGTTCTGCAGGATGTATAGGAAGCATGATCTGGCATCTGCTTGGCTTCTGGGGAGTCCTTGGGTAACTTACAATCATGGCAGACGGTGAAAGGCGAGCAGACATACCACGTGGCTGGAGCAGCAAGAGAGGGAAAAATGGGAGATGTTATTCACTTTTAAACAACCAGATGTTTTGGGAACTCTGTCATGAGAACACCAGGGGATGGTGCTAAACATTCATATAAAATCCATTCTTATGATACAATCACCTCCCCCCACCAGGCCCCGACTCCCACATCAGGGACTACAATTCAACCAGAGATTTGGGTGGGGACACAAATCCAAATCATAGCAGAGAGTGATGATTTTATCATGGTCTTGCCAGTTTATAATAGAATATGATTAACTAAAAGCCAGTGTCATGCATTCTTAATTATATTGGGTTACACCATAAGGGCTTCTCTTATATTTGACTGTTTCAAACCTGTCACACTTTTTATGGGGTTCAACCTAATAAGGCCCCCAGAAAAGTATGGGTCTTTATTACACGTTTATCAAGATAATATTAGCTGTTGGCTTACTTCATGAGCTACCACCCTCTTTTCTTGTCCTCACAGGAGTTGTCTGTATACTGTGCTTTTATGTTCCGTTCACGTTTTGAGCCCACTGTGACCTGGTTTCTGTCTCTATCACTCTTCGGATTTCTATCAAAGTCAGCAATGACTTTCTATTAGCTAAATTTAAAAGGCATCTTTCAATTATTTTTCTGCTATTTATCATGGCAGTGTCTAGAATATTTAAATTCATTCTTAAAACTCAAGCTCCCCTTGGCTTTCATGATTTCACCGTTCCTGGTCTTCTTGCTACCTTTCTG